GCAAAAGACAAAGAAAAATTTGCTTAAAGTGCCGATCGGCAGACGCGCAGCGCGTCGATGTGGAAATTGCGATAGTGCCGCCGGGTTGGTGTTGGTTGCAACACAGTGTGTCCCCCATGCTCCACATCTACTGCCCGCATGCCAAAACAATGAACTCTGGCAACACTGTCGAAGTTGTTTAACTTTACATTTGTTGCCCTGGCTGTTTGCCTGCTTCAGTTGCTGGTTTTCTGGCCCTCTGCTGTTGCTGCTGCTCCTAATTCACCTACTCCTTCTCAGACTTCAGTTCTCGCTCGTAGCCACGGCCACAGCTTAGTGTTGCCTTTGATTAAGGTGCCCCCAACAAGTGTCAGCCAAGGGGCATTGCTTTCACATAGCTCCTATCATTGAAATAGAGCCGGTTATAGGTGTCAGTTTGGCAAAACTGTAAAACAAAGTACAATTAGTTTGGCTTAGTTTCAAAGGTTATTAAAGAGTTTCTAAAGTATTCAAGTGAAAGTGAATACCTTAAGCTTTATCAGTTCAGCTAGAAGGCAATTGATAATATGCTTACAGTGTTTAGAATTAGCGTATCTGTTTCATAAAGAGAATGAAACTTAATTTAAAATTTTCATTTCACTTAAAATATAAAAACAGATTACAGCAGCAATTAAGTTATTTTCAACTATAGCAGAGCAGCGTGCCGTGACGGGGCGCAAAACCATGCCGCCTGATTTTAGGCGTCAATATAAATTAGGACGTATTCGAAAAGCTGCGCAATTAAAATTTATGAAATTAAAAACAAATAATAACACAAAATTTAATTACGCTCAAACCAAAAAAAAAAAATGGAAATGTTCAGTTTTTTAGTGGTCGATTTTTTGTTTTTGTGTATCTCATCCATTTCATTTGCACAATCAATGAGGCGACCGCAGTCGAATAACATTTCTGCATGATTGTGCTACAGGCAATGCAAGCAGCGATTCGCGTGCACCAACAGCTCTCGGGCACTTTATGATAAAGCAATTGACGGGCGCCAATAAGTAGGCAATGAAAATTAAAGCGACAGATGAACTCACAATGAAATTTAACAGCACTCGAAATGTTTTCATTTTTTCTCTCGTTTTTTTTTTGACTGTTAATTGAAAGCGACGGCAGCAGACAAGTACAACGTTGTAAAATCAAGTAATATACTCCTTTACAGTAAAGTGAGTCGAGTAGCTATACTGATTTAAGTATGAAAGGTAAAAACTTTAAGTAGGGGAATAAGGGAATTATTTTTATTTTAGTATTTAAACAGACTGCTTAATTGGTCGTTTCGTACTTCTGAATAATTTATTTATATAATAAATTACGAAGAATATTGCGTGATGTAAAAAATGAAAAAAAAACGGATTGAGATCATTATATCTAAAATCAAGAGGAATTGTATATTGTATGGTACTTTTTCTCTTGACTTATTGACATTTTTATTAAATTTCAAATCGATATAATTTTTATTAGATATATACACCACAGAGAAACACAGCTTGGTTTGACAATAGTATAAACTATGATACAAATACTTCATGACATATTAATTACATATTTGAGTATACAGGATATCTATTAGTCTTACATGCTTACATGCGGGCGAGCATTGATTTTTATTGTTTTTCCATTGCCAGCGACTTTTACGAGTTTCATGTAAATTTAATTTGTCTGCCAACTGTTTGCGCTGTCCATCCCAATGCCCGTTGCATGCGCAAACCTTTTGCTATTTGGTGGTTAACCAAAAAATATTCGTGTGTAACACATTTGCAACTTTACAACGTTACACAAAACTCACACAGATACAAACACTCATAGAATGTAGGAGCATGCCACGCCCAGTTGCGGCCCACTTGACTAGCTCAGATAGTTTTGCATTGTTGCGGTAAATTGGCAAAAATTTACATACCATTGGCATTTATTGTTTATGCATTGGTTGCATTGCCACATCATCATCACGACAATGACGATGATGATGAGGATGATGATTATTGTGATGTTGAATGCTTGCGTTTATATAGATATATTCGGGTGGTTGTTGCCAGTCGCTTGTGGCTTTAAAATTGTGGCAATTAAATTTTGCTGGTTTTTTTTGTTGTTTGTTGAGGATATTATAAAATATATTTTATAAGGTTTATATGCACACATATATATATATGATTGTATTTAGTGTTTATAAATATTCTTTCAAAATCTTTCGCTTAGTGTTGCAGGCTTTTATTTTAATTGAGGTTTTAGTTATAAATTGTGCGCTTTACGGTTAATTTTGAAATGGATAGCAAAGGCTCGTAAGCTGCCATAATTGGTTTGTTTTAAACAATTTGTGTGCATGCCAAGTGGGCCAACCTTGATGGGATTTATATTATTTATGTAACAACCAAGTACACTTATACATACACATTTATATACATATATAGGAAAAATATTTATAGGTAAAAAAGCTGGGATTTACTTTAACATTTACTTTTTAAATTTTTTTTCCACACACTTTTCAAAGCCAATAAACAAACAGACTTCACATTTTGGCCATAAATAAAAAGGCCAGGCGGTTTTTAGTATTTGCCAACAGCTTGTCCCAAAGACGTGAGAAAAATGCGGCTACTGGCTACAGTTTGCGCATTTTGCCTTAAACAACAACACCTGCCGCTAATGGCCAGTGACTGGCCCAGCGCCATATGTTTGATTTATAAGCATTCTCTCGTTTTTTAGAAGGCATATCTAAACTTTTTGCTCATTTAACACACATATACACACACAGACAGAGTCCCTTTTCGAACCCAACCCAACTGGGCTCAAAGTCTGTTCAGCCAACAAACAATTGCCATGTAATAGTTACTCCGTTGCCCTTGTTTTCGAGGGTTCGCCTTGCATAATGACAGCTGTGTGACATGTCATAAGCCAAAAAAGAACAACAACAACCACAACAAGCACATTGACATTAAAATACACACCCGCACACACATAGCCACAGCCAGAGTCACATATTGATGATGTGCGTCAAATGCCATCGATGTTTCTGTCAATTTGGTTTGGCCACAGTTGTTGTTTTTGGCTCCCTGATTGTTCTGTGTCCATTGTTCATTTGTTCAGTTTGCCAGTACGCTTATCAATGCATTGCTTAGTTCATTTATACTGTGATGTTCTACTGCTGTTGCTATTGTTGCTGGTTTGACAAATTGATCGCGTGATATGTTTGCCGAACGACGACAGTGTTGTTACTGCCGACTGTCGGTCGTCGCCTGGCATTGATGGCATTACAATATGTTTGCCTCAGCAACTAACGAAACATGCCACCAAATAGTTGCAATTGTGTCACTTATTTGTGCTTTTCCCAAAATTAAATTCATTCATTTGGCTAAATTACTTCAAATGCAATCGATTGTCCTAGAGATTATCTTATTTACTCTAACTACAGCATAGAACAAAGAATTTAAATTTGACTCTAATTAGTTTGCTTATTTTTTATTGTTATACGTCTAACCACATAATTGATTGCAAACCCAATTGATCGACAACTAAATTGAATGACAAAATAAAGTTAGTTAAATAATTGAAAATATTATATGATATAATGGACTCTAATTTAAATTAAATTGCCATGAAATCAATCAGAAAAGTAGTAATAGAAAAAGTAGTGTGGACTAAAAAAAGTAAAAAATTAAAAAACATGCATAAGAAACAATAAATAGGAAAAAAATAATAATTAAATTTAAATTTTTTTGTGAATTATTAAATTAATGCAATACATTTCTTTACAGCAATAAAAATGAAAAATATATAAATTATAAAAAAATTATGATGAGATAAATTTAAAACATAATTAAAAATAAAATAAAAAAGGCTTTTAAATAAAAATAATTTATAAGATATAAAACTGTATATCGAAAAACAATAAAATGTATAACATAAGTATTGTTGATAAAGTTTGCTTAAAGAGCAAAATCAAATCTTTTTAAGACATTATAGTCTAAATTAAATTAATTTAAACGAAGGCTAAAAATATTTCAATATCAACAACTTGTTGCTTTATTAAATCAATTTGTAATGGAAATCAAATACAAATCGTAATTAAGTAGATATTACTATCAAGAACACATGTCACTGTGAGGCTTCAAAACTATTTACCAACATTACGAATAGAGCTGCTGTTGTGCCTGTTGTTGAACAATATAAGTTCGTAGCCGAACCCAAGTTGTACAACTTTATGTCTGACTTTGACTTAGGCCAATCAGCTGCAATGTGCATGCGAGCAACGGTGCATCCTGCATATTTCAAACTCTAGAACCGTCAGATGCATAACTAAGCCATCGACATTGGCAGACGTCTTAATTGTGGACGATTGCGTTACCAGACACATTCCCGGACACGGAACACGGCAAACGGGTAGCCGGATCGACAAGGACAACGGAACAACGTCAATTCGTTAAAATCTACGTCAGCTTTGCTGCTAATTTTGTTTGCCTTGTGTAGCGCGCACACACACACACACACAAGTGCCGCCCACACATATACACTCCAGTGAGGCTTCATGTGCACAGTGTTTGAGAAAAGTGTGCACACGTTTCGTCTCGTAACATTTGTCGCTTTGTTTGCTCTGCACTCCAAACACTGCAGACAAAATGCTGTCGGAAATCCACTGATGTCTGATGTCTCTATATAACGCAGCCCTGAAGCGACCAGGGCTGTCTGTAGTTAATCCGCCTAACGTTATGCAATGAAAAGTTTTTTGTTCAAAATTAATTAATTTTATGTGCAAACAGTTGTTAATTTTCTCCTTTTCTGCTTTGTTTTGTTGTTTTTTCTTCCTCTCTTCTTTTGTTGCTTTATTTCTGTGTGTGTGTCTCGTGTTGACCCTCAAAGCATGGATTTCGCCCTGGCAACGTTTGTTGGATTTATTGTGTGAAATTTTGCTTGGCACGTTTTAATTGGCTTAAACATTTTTAGAGTGAGGTTCCCTATTAATCATGCGTATTTTTTATTTAATTTTGCAGGTCATCACCCATGTGGTAGTAAGCAGAAAGTTGAAGCGCATCAGCAGGTTAACTACATCGAACACAGTTTGGAGAAGTGATGAAGTCATGAGACCGACATTCGATCGACGCCTCTGGATATTATTGTTCATTATTTTAGTACAATGTAAGTAGACCAAACTCTCAATAAGACATGACCAAATTAATGCGGCAAGTGGCCCTACTAAGCCAAGCAGCTCATATATTTGCCGCATTGCTTTTGTTGAAAACGAATGCTCCATTTTGTATGCCGGCAACGTGTGAAAAATAGTTCACAGATAATCGCAGTCAGGCAGGTCACATTATTTATGCGCCAGCACACACAACGCCTCCAAATCCTCACCAGCCTCCCACTCTGCCAGTCGCCAGGGCAGCCCAGCTTGAGTCGGCTGTCTTTAGACTCAGTACCAGAGTCGGTTTCTGCTAGCCCTTATCAGCTTGATATTCTATGCCACAAGCAGCAAACAAAGCCATTTCTTTTATTTGATGTGCGTTTTGGGGCATTCGAGCTTCGGGAGCGGAAAAGAGACGCAATACGGTAGGGGCCAGCAGGCTGACCCTGAGCGTTTCCTGGCCAAATAACGTGTGTGTGCGCGTGTGTGTGTGCTGGCCTCAAGGCCTGTGCTCCAATAGGATAACCAGGACAGGTTCTGCATAGCAAGCAACTTGCGCTTTGCTCTTTAATGCAATGAGGCGTATGAGTGATATACCATTAAGTAACCCATATTACTCATACGACCATGTGAGCCAGCGGAATCTCAGTTGTACTGTGAAAGCACTGTTAAAATATTTATTAAAGACTTCAGTTATATCACAGCTAAGCTCTGCAAATACCTTTTATATAAAATATAAAATTCGCTAACAAACTCCATAATAAGTCGTATATAATCCAAAAATAGTATAAATAAAAGCAGTGAATAATTAAATAAAAATAAAAATAAAATGATTTATATAAATTAAATTTTAAAAATATTATATAAGCTAATATTAAATAAATAACATAGTAACTTAATAAACTTAAATAATAATTAACTTTAAATCATAATTTTTAATTAAGCTTAATATTAAATTTAAGAAAATATAACTACAAAAGAAACCATATAATTTTTTTGTTAAACAACTTAATAAAATATGGAAAATTTAGTGACCATTTAGCGAACATTTTGAATATATTATAATCGTAATATGGATTTAACTTCTTCAACTGAATCTGGATCATCTATAACAAGATATTCATAAGAATTGTAGTGGAGATCCTAGCAAATCGACTATTAAAGCCAAAGGGTTCGCCAAGATTATATGTAGATACTTCTTTAATATTAACTTTGACGTGTGCACAGCCGCCATTCACAAAGCTTATAATTCAGTCAAACAAAATGTGGTCGCACCTATCTGGAATCATGTAGCCCATCGATCATACATATTAAAACAAAAAATAATAATGCAATAAAATTAATTTATTATGGAATAGAAAAACAAAAATGTTAAGAGAACAAAATGGCAGTTTCTAAATGCATTTTTAAAATAATATTAAAGTCGTTATGTATTCATTTTAGTTTAGATATCAAATTAAAAATACATTTAAAAACAATCAATCATAAAAATTATATCTTCTTTTTCGAATCTTCTCAATAATTCAAGCCCATCAATTAAACGAGTGAACAATCGATGCGATAGTTCATTGCTTCTCTCAGAAATCAAATGTCATGCAGGATTGTCTTCTCTGGGGTCATTTGAAGGTTGCGTTGAACCGCAGCACCCACATAAAAGAAAAAAAAAACGCAGAAAGTGAGCAGAGTGCCACAGTAGCCATACATGTCAGAGCAAAAGTCAGAAGCGTGTAACGAGCGGTGCTGCCAAGGAGAATGCTCGGCATATCCGACTACTCTACGCAGAAAACGGAAACGGAAATGCGCGTTCAAGAATTTTAATCTGAATGCGCAATTTCGCGTGTGAGCTGTGTGCCAAAATGGCGAGGCACATGTCGACCAAATGGCGGCAACGCAACGTTGCCACGTCCCCTGTCGACCGCCTGGCACCTCCTGAAGCCAACCCTTCCCTGCCACCTCGCCACGCGCGCTAACCACCGCCCCTTTGTTGCAGCACATGTTCCACTGCGGTGCGCCTTGGAATTTCACGCGTTTATTTGCAAAGATTACGAAATGCGCCGGGACGCCCGCTAAAGTTTTGTATGCGTTTCCTGTGCGCTGACGGCGTTGCCTTTTCCTCTGCACCAGCCCACAATCCCTCACACTTCGCCCTCTGTCTGCCACTGTGTGTCTGTTTTTTTACACTGTTTGCTCGTCCGCTTGCCCCGACGTCTCGCTGACTTGTTATGCATGCAAAAGTCTGCGGCAAATACACAGCCTGGGAACACATGCGGCCCCTTGCCCGTTCAGTAGTGACATGCAAAATATTTTTGCATAAAAATGTTTGCTCACCACACACACACACGAAAACGCTCAAGTCCTGCGTCCTGCAGCCAGCAGTCGTTGCACTGGCAGCTTCAGCTTAAGCTAAAGCAATCCCGTTTCATGTGAGCGAAATTTTCAAGTTTAAAGAATTTCAATTTCAATTTCAATTTTAGTTATAATATTATTTTTTCCTCAAGCCAAGTTAAGCGTAAAATTTGTCAGCAAATTTTTAGTAAAATGTTCTCTGTGCAATATTCAGTTTATATATATATATATATATATATATATATATATGTATATATATCTTGCTACCTTGGCTATATCATAGGATATCTGCTTGCTCTCCCTTGGGCTTAATGTCCAACATTTTATCCATGTATTTAAGCTGAATGTGCGTTCGCTACGTGTTCGCCATACTAAGGAGTCCCAATACCATCTTGATAGCCTGGCTAAGCGAAGTGTGTTGCATACTTAAATGCGACAGCAACAGCAGCCATGAAGCATATTTCAGCTCTAATAAAGTGGTGCGTAGGGTGTGCTTAGTCATATTATTGGACTGTCATCATCCGGCGCCATTCGCAGTCACATTTACATTGACCTACATGAACAAAATAAAACGAGCTGTAAATTGTAGAGACAATCGCTTAATCTACATTTAACTTGGCTTTTAGGCTTATCATATTTTAGAAAAATTATGTTATCGATTAGCATTAAACTTGCGCGCTTTTGTATATTTTTGTATCCTTTTTCAATTTTCTGAATGCTGAAGTTTTTTTTTATTAGTGTAGCTATATTTATAACAGTAAAGTTATTAGACTTAAAACAATTATTTAACGTGCTCGTTTTGGTGCTGAGCTCTTTCTTTATTCCGACGACTTTATATTTAATGTGAGTTTGAAGCTGCTTTTCACTTTAATAACTATTCTCATCAGTTGCACAATGCTCCACTATCTATCTATCTATCTATCTATGAGAGATGTGAAACTCTTTTCGAACAATGTCGTCTCTTGTGAAAGTAGGCAACACTTTGCAACTTGTGGAGGGAACGGCATCAGAAACAAAATTCCAAACGAAATCAGCTTAAATTTCAGCTTTCAAGTGGACTCCTCCACTCAATTTTGTGCTCACTCAGCGGCTCGCTGCCCTGGTTGTTCGGATGGTACAATCAACAAGACAACCGCAGCGCGGGTCCCGGCATGCGTGGGTGGCACGGGCAGGTGGTTGTTGTGCGACCAGTTGCGACCGGTCATAGATGACTCTTGAGCTGAGGCCACTCAGCGGCAACTGCAACTGCAACTGCAACGTGGAACGGTGAACGTGCAGCGTGGTACGTAGTCGTCGACTTAGTTAGCCACTTTTCTTTTATATAAAATGCGCCTTTTGTGCCTCGAGTGCTCCGACTGCCACAGCCTTTCCTCCCTTGGGCTACCCTTTCATAAGAAAAATACAGTTTGCAGCAAGTTTATTTTAAAACTCGACTTTTGTGTGCTCGAGTTTACTTTGGTGGCGAATTACTTTTCGGTTATTTTATGTGGCTCACAGACGCCGCTGATTGTCTTGTTGTCTGGTGTTGATGCAGCGCCAAAAGCTTCACAGACTGTAGATACTTTTAGGGTTAGGTCTACTTCATGGACTTCCTCTGCTACCCACTACGTCCGGTTCGTCGCGGAGTTTATTATGTTGGCCGCTTCAAGTCGAAGCCGCTTGCAGAATGCAATTATCAAAAGTTTTCGTGTTGTTCACTCTTCTGCCACCTCTCACTCCCTTTCTCTCTCGCTCAGTCTCTCTCTCCCTTCGTTTTTTTTCTTTTTATTTTTGAGCGCCTTTGTCGTATGGTAGAAATTATGGCCAGAGCCATTTTGCTGTACACAGTTGGAGCTCTGCCTCTAGCTCTTTGATTTCGTTTTCTCCAATTGCATTTTTTTTCGTTAACTTCTCTCATTGCTGTTTAACATGGCATAGCAAATGTGGAACAAAAGTTGAGCAGCCAAAGTCGAAGTTTGCGAAGCTCTTAAAGCAAATGCAGTTTCATAAAGTTTAAAGAGTCGCGCGCATTTCGGAAGCGGAAATGTAAAAGGTAAGGCGTGGCAGGGCGTACATTGTGCCAAAAATGCTAAGAGCGGAAACGCAGCTAACAATAAAAGCCAAAAAGGGCATAAAACGCGCACTTCCGCTTTAAATTTCCCCAAGTTTTCACTTGCATTCGTATGTGTGTGTGCGTGTATGTAAGTGTGTATGTGTATGTGTGAGGGGGTCACCGTATAACGTGCAACACCGTGTGGTCAACACGAAGCTCTGGGCTTTCTCCCGTCTGCCGGTTGCCGACTGCCGGCTGCCGGCTTCCGGCTTGGCTAGACCGACAAAAAATTGGCCGCACACTAAATTGCACACCTGAGATTAATGCGCCGGGCACTTGAAAAGCGTTTTGAAACACGGTCCGGCCCGGCAAATAGGCCAAAACGAAAGGTGTAAAGGCCAAAAGCAGTTGCCGCTGCAGCTCTCAGGTTTACAATTGTATGCAAAACACGACGTTCTACGTTGCCAAAGTCAAACGCTACTCAGGCGCATTTTCTTCCTTTCCTTTCATACCAGACACCAACATTTGTAATTGTTGTTGTTTTCTTCTTCTTCACTGTCGGGTCGTTACCAGCTGACGCCTTTGGGCTTTTGTAAGCGAAAACGCTAAATGAAGGCGGCTGAAGGCTTAAGCTAT